ATAAAATCATAAAATGCAAATTAACCGAACAGCAGAATGACCAGTAGCTATGATGTGCACTGACCACCAGGGGGCAGACACTCAATGCAGGAGCTGCCCTGTGTTGGTCAGTGCACTCCCACAGGGGGAGTGCTACTCAGCCAGAAGTAGGGAGTGGGCCTAAGCCAGCAGGCAGATATCCCCCAAGGTGTCCTGGACTGCGAGCAGAGGCTTGGCTGAGGGACCTCCCCCCCAGTGCACAAATGTCATGCATGGGGACTCTAGTCTTACCGAATAATAGAGAAACGTGTAAATTAACCATACCGCTACGCCCACAGCCAAACAGAGTGAGTGTGTAAATTAACCTAACAAAATGGCAGTTAATTTGCATACATACCTGGGTCCCAGGAACCTCCTCAGCACCCAGGTCACTCCTAGCTGACCATCAGAGGGGAGGGGCCCTTCCCAAGCCTAAGCCTGGGGCAGAATCTTCAGGATTGGGCAGGGGCAGAGCCTGGGATTGGAGGGAAGGGGAAATAATCAATGGAAACATGTCCTCAGGTGAGGATAAAAATGAAAATGAAAAATAGAAATGTCAGCCGAAACCGGTTTGGCTCAGTGGATAGAGCATCAGCCTGCGGACTCAAGGGTCCCGGGTTCGATTCTGGTCAAGGGCATGTACCTTGGTTGCAGGCACATCCCGGTAGGGGGTGTGCAAGAGGCAGCTGATCAATGACTCTCATTGATGTTTCTAACTCTCTATCTCTCTCCCTTCCTCTCTGTAAAAAAAATCAGTATATATATATATATATATATATATATATATATATATATATATATATATAAAAGAAATGTCATATACTATGAAAGATCCATCTTGAAAATCCCTAAAGAAAGTTGTCATTTTTTCATGGTGAAGGGACTGGAGTCCATGTTGATGAAAATATCTTGGCAGCTACGGTGACTGGCAGTGGCTGCAGTGGCAGGGTAATGGGACTGGCGCCTTCCCCTGATCAGCCCGGTAGCTTCCCGCAAAGCTATCAGTAGGACATCCCCTGAAGGCTCCCAGTATGTGAGAGGAGGCAGGCTGGGCTGAGGGACCCCTCCCCAGTGCACGGATTTCATTCAACAGGCCTCTAGTATCTTTATAATTATTATTTTCTTGAATGATTCAATCATTATTATAAAAAGTTCCTCTTGTCCCTGGTAATGATTTTCTCTTAGGGTATATTTTGTTTGTTATTAGTAAAGCCACCAAATCAAAAGTGTGCCTCTTATGCACAGCATATAGTTGGATCTTTTATTTTTTTTATTTTTAAAAAAATATATTTTATTGATTTTTTTACAGAGAGGAAGGGAGAGAGATAGAGATCTAGAAACGTCAATGAGAGAGAAACATCGACCAACTGCCTCTTGCACACCCACTACTGGGGATGTGCCCGCAACCAATGTACATGCCCTTGACCGGAATCGAACCTGGGACCTTTCAGTCCGCAGACCGATGCTCTACCACTGAGCCAAACCAGCTTCGGCTATAGTTGGATTTTTTAAAAAGATTTTTTTCTGACAATTGATAGTTGGAATGTTTAATTAATTTTGCATTTAATGTAATAATTGGTGAGGTGGGATTTATATCTGCTTTGCTCTTTGTTTTCTAAATATCTTTTTGGTTCTTCTGATAGTCTGTTAATGCCTTCTTTTGTGTTTAATAGATGCTGTCTGGTTTGTTTACCATTTAATTCCTTTGTTCATTTTTTATTTCATTTTTTTATTATCATTATTTTTTAAAAATATATTTTATTGATTTTTTACAGAGAGGAAGGGAGAGAGATAGAGAGCTAGAAACATAGATGAGAGAGAAACATTTACCAGTTGCCTTTTGCACACCCCCTACCAGGGATGTGCCCGCAACCAAGGTACATGCCCTTGACCGGAATCGAACCCAGGACCTCTCAGTCCGCAGACCAACGCTCTACCACTGAGCCAAACCGGTTTCGGCTCATTTTTTATTTTTATTAATCCTCATCTGAGGATATTTTTCCTATTGATTTTTTTTTTTAGACAAATTGTAGGGAGAGGGAGAGACAGAGAAAGAAAAATCAATGTGAGAGAGACACATCAATTGTTCCCTCCCCCACACACCCCAACCTGTCAATCGAGCCTGCAATGGAAGTATGTGTCCTTGACTGGAATCGAACCCTCAAACCTGGGACCGTTCAGGCCCACCCCCCATTTGTGCTGTTAAAAAAAAAAAAAAGTCGAATTGTGTTGAAGTCTAAGAGCAATGATCTGCCCTTGGCCTAGAAGGAGAAAAGCTTCATGAGCAAGAACCACAGGGCCTGGCATTCTGTTCTCGGTGGTGGTGGCTGTAGCAGACAGCAAGGAGCGGTCAACTGCCCACGACTGAGTCTCCCAGTGGCCACAGGGGTTCAGAAAAGGGGCTCCTGCCTGCAATGACATCAACGTCCCTGCAAACACTGCGATTCCTGCCTTGAGACCTTGAGCTGCACGGGCCCCGGCCTCTGACACAGAGTGTGAGATGCATGTGCTGCTTTACTTCTGACTTGTGGTGCTCTGCTGTCCAGTGAGAGAAGCCAGCAGTGTTGGCTGGGGAAGCACATGTGTGCGTTCTGTTGAGGACCTTGTATGACGCATGAGATTGCTCAGTTCCTGAAGGATGAGTGGTCTCTCTGTTGGTCTCAGGAAGTTACTTCCACTCCTCTCTTCAAGGGTTACATCCTACAATCACTTACTGTCGGTTCCTTTGCCTAATGAGTCACATTCCCGGGAACTGTCTGCTTAGGATGGTGTCAGCCCAGTGACCGTGAATAGATTCACTTGGTCCATGGGAACCACACCCTTGCCCTCATATGTTCTGTGGTTGGTTTTCTTCTTACCTGCCAACTTCAGCCAGGCCTCCTGGCCTGCAGATGTTTTCAGGTGTGAGTCAGGCATGAACACCAGAGGGTGTCCAGTTCCCCAAACTTCTTGAAGCCCATCTCGTCAGGATTGGTGTAAAACTGCTGGTTTTGCAGAAACTGGTTTGGCTCAGTGGATAGAGTGTTGGCCTGTGGACTGAAGGCTCCCGGGTTTGATTCCGGTCAAGGGCATGTGCCTTGGTTGCAGGTGCATCCCCAGTGGGGGGTGTGCAGGAGTGATTGATGATTCTCTCTCATTGATGTTTTTAACTCTATCTCTCATCCTCTCTGTAAAAAAATCAATTAAAAAAATGTTTAAAAATATATTATTATTTTTTTTTTAAACTGCTGGTTTTCTCACCCTTGAGGAGCAGAGTGAAGTCACAACCACAGGCACCAGCACATTTTCCAAAGAAACCCTGTGCCCTGCCTTCTTTTGCTTTCTGTCGTGCCCTTAGGTGTGCACAAGATTATGTGCTTCTAAGCACAGCTTCTCCGCTATTCTTGCATTTGTGGTCCAGCACCTCAGTTGGGCATGTGGGAGTTAGTGATGCCTAATGTTTTATCTGCCTCCTCTTGAGGATTCAGCCCAACCTGCAATCCTGCATCAGAGGCATCTTCCTTCCCTTCCAGTTATGAGAGGGGCTCGGAAATGAAACCCAGAATTAAGAGGGGTTGTAGGGATTAGCATAATAATATCATTGACACAATTTTAAGGTTCAGGTACATTCTGTGCTGAATATTTTAAATTGATCTCTAATATTTAAATTGGATCACTGGATAGAGCGTTGGCCTATCCAATATCATTGTCATTCACTGGCAAGAAGTGAAAAGGCCAAGTTGGGGCATTGTCATTAACTGAGTTGATGTGAGTTGTTTTATAGATACACCGTAAGCAATACAATCAAGAAAGAACAATATGTTGGTCGACCAGGAGCTAATGTGGGTAAAATGCATTTATTGGGTTCTGCAGAACTAGAAGTCCATGGATGTCTTCCTGTTCTGTGAGTATCAGTGTACGTAGGCAGATGCGCAGAACGTCAGTGGTGTGCATCCTCCCATGGGCTGGCTACCACCTGAGGAAAGAACCACCTCGCTGGCCTCCATTTCTTCCAGTATAAATGGAGATGATGAAATATACCTTATGCAGTGATCTGGAGTGATCTGGAGTCATAGGAGGAAGAGCTTCATCCATCATTAGACACTCTACTAATGTGATGTTATCTGATTGAAATCTGGAGCCACTTTTGTCTTTAAGCTATTAGTTGAAGACACTTTTTTCAAGATTATCTTTTAAAATGAGTGAAGATGTGGTACATTCACACCATGGAATACTATCTAGCTACAAAAAGGGATCTCTTGCTCTTTGAGATAGCATGTAAGGACCTGGATGGAGAGTATTGTGCTAAGTGAAATAAGCCAGTCAGAGAAAGACAAGTATCACATGATCTCACTCATATGTGGAGTCTAAGGAACAAAATAAACTAATAAATAAGATAGATCCAGATGCCAAAACTGTTTTGGCTCAGTGGATAGAGCGTTGGCCTGCGAACTGAAGGGTTCCGGGTTCGATTCCGGTCAAGGGCATGTACATTGGTTGTGGGCACATCCCCAGTAGGGGGTGTGCAGGAGGCAGCTGATCAATGATTCTCTCTCATCAATGTTTCTAACTCTCTATCCCTCTCTCTTCCTCTCTGCAAAAAAGTCAATAAAATATATTTAAAAAAAAAAAAAAAAAAAAGATAGATCCAGAGACAGAAGCATGGAACAGACTGCAGAATCTCAGAGGGAAGGTGGGAGGTGGGGGTGAGATTAAACTAACCAAAGAACTTATATTCATCGATGCACAACCCATGGACACAGACCATGGTGTGAGGAAGGCCTGCGGTGGGATGAATGCAGGGTGGACAAGGGTCAGTGGGGGAAATAAAGACATTTGTAATACTTCCAACAACAAAGATCAATGTAAAACAAAAGCAAAGAAACAAAACAAGGAGGAAATACACGCGAAGGGCCCTGACACTGCATGACTGTTAAGCCACGTCACTTCCTGACCTCTGAGGAGCCAGGGCTGTTACAGAGGCTGGTGAGTGCTGGTATGACTTACTGGAACCTCCGTCGGCAGCAGAAGAAGTTCAGCTTGCAACTTCCAACCACCTTCTCATCCTCAGTGCACATCCGCCTGCACTTGCCCCGCCCCAGCTTGCATGGCTCACACGCAGAAAACTCACCTGCACAGAGAATGAGCTGCTCACGTCCCTCTCCTGGACCCCGGAGGGAGGAGCGGTCCAAAGCCACAAAAGGGGAGGGTTTGTGTTTAGGATGATAAAGATGTTTTCAAGAACCAGTGGAGATTTTCCAAAGAGCTCTGCTTTTTTCAAAATGGAGTTTGAGAGAGTTCATTTCTAAGCCACAGGGAGATGCTATCCTGGTCCGCCCTGTGTTTCTAACCTGCCTGGTCAAAAGGGAGCACCATCGATGCATGCGTGTTTTAGGACTATCCCTCTGCACACATGGCACTGCTATGCAGGCTACATGACGATAGTGGGAGGGACACCATGGAGTTTTAAAAGATTCTTGGTGGAGGAGTTAAAAACGTAGGTTCAATTCTACTTTGGGTCTTGTAATGGTCTGTCCTCAGGAAACTGCTGATCCTCAGCCTTCTCAGCTGTCAAATGGGTGCGCTACAAATACTGGTCTACATCTCCATTGTTTTAGTGGTGAAATGTAATGAGTTATGTGAGAATATTTTGCCAGCTCTACTCACTCGATTAGCTCTTTTTGTTGGTACTTTAAACAGAAGGTTTTTTTCTTTTCTTTTTTTTAAATCTTCACCTGAGGATATTGATCTTTAGAGAGAGTTGGAGGGAGGGAGGGAGGGAGAGAGAGAGAGAGAGAGAGAGAGAGAGAGAGAGAGAGAGAGAGATGGATTGGTTGCCCCCCTATGTGCCCCAACCAGGGCTGAAGATTGAACCTGCAATCCAGGTATATGCCCTTGACCAGGAATCAAACCCGAGACCCTTTGGTCCACGGGCTGATGCCTAATCCATGAGCAAACTGATCAGGGCTGAGCAGAAGATTCCTTACATAACTGTTCAGGTTGCCTTGTGTGTTCCAGGTAAGCAGTGTCTTTGTCACAAAAGGAATCTTCCTGTGCTCATCTGGCTTTCAGGGGGCAGCACTGATGTTGTAGCCCTTTGTTTTCCTTCCTAATCACCACCCTCCTTCCCAGTAACCTCAGAGCATTGAGCCTCACAAGTTGGCATCACCACTGTGTGCCTCCCCTCCCCCCAGCCTAGTTCCTACACAGCTCAGTTTTCATCCTCAGGCTCTTCCACCTCCATGCCCCTCGTGACCCTCGCTCTCTGATGACTGCTCAGCAGCACACCCAGCTAGAATGGCTCCACGCCTGGGGCTGCATCCTATCCTATTCCTTCCCTTCTGGATCTCCTAAACACTAAGCCAGTGGTGATATTCATGCTATGTGTCCCTTACATGTATTGCAACTCACTCTGCTCATTGGTGACGACCTCATTTGTCCACTTGTGAGGGACACAGTCAAACCCCAGCCTTTGCTCTGGCAAGCACAGACTCAATCACTCACGCTTTCCCTGGAGGTGCACTCACCACACCGGTGAGAAGAACTCCAATCGCCTCTAAAACAAAGTCCCTGTCACTTGGCTTCTAACCTCCTCTGACTGGAAGTGAGAGAAGACAAACACTAAAGTTCCACAGAAGAGGCCGTCTGCCACGAACAGGTGCCACTGAAAGCCTCCTGAGAACAAGGATGAAAAAAGGACCAGTGTCTTCCTTCCCTAATGTACCTGCTCTACAGCCACCTCTGGCTCCGAGGGCCTCTGCTCAACAGCTGGATCTCAGCTCCTCGATTCCTGGCTCACTTCTAGATCCTGATGGTGTTATTTCTCCTCCTAAATCTCCTTCCTCACTGGGGTCTCCTGCATTAGCCTCTAGACTGCCCCCCTCTCTCCACCAGGATTGGCTGATGGCTATGCTTTGGTGCCTCCCCCTATTCTTCCAGAGGCAGGCAGGAAAGAAGCAGTACCTTCAGCCTTGGAATCAGACAAGACAGGAGACAAGGTGCTTTCCTCATCTGACCTGCTCTTTGCTGGGATTCTCTCCAGCAGCCCATTCGCTGCAGAGCTAGAGGCCCCCTCTCCACCATCACCCAGGAGCCCTCTCTGGGTGGTCACATGCGGAGCTTAGATGCCGTCGGTACCCCAGGCACCAGCCCACGATTCTAGACAACAGCACGTGCGCGTCTCAGGCAGCAGGTGGTCTGATTGCCAGGCGCCCATGCTGCGGTGCCACCCTGTGGACAGTAAGTTGGGTGCTTTCTACCTGGAGAATCACAGTTAAAACTCACTTTGATGTCCTCCTAGAAGCCTAACTTAACACTTGTGACACCCCCCCCCCCCGCACCTTCCCACCCCTGAGCAGAGATGCATAACATCCCATTGCTGTCTCTGCTTTGTTATCTGTAAAATGATGCTTGTAATAGTACCTACCATCTAGGGATGTTTCCATTTAATACATCTTTATTGATTTTTAGAGAGAGAGGAAGGGAGAGGGAGAGAGAGATAGAAACACCGATGAGAGAGAAACATTGTCAATTGGCTGTCTCCTGCACCTTCTCCGCCCCCCCAGTGGGGATCATCCCCCTACTGAGCCTGCAACCCAGGCATGTGCCCTGACTGGAAATAGAACCAGTGACCTCTTGGTAGCTGGATTGAAGCTCAACTCCTGTTTTGAAGATGAAATTAGATAATCCACAGAAATTTCTTAATAGACTGCCCAGTGCACAGTAAGTACTCAATTACTAGAATCAACCTTAATTTCCTCACTCTGAAATTCCGTCTAAACACTTTTAAATTCTGTTTGCAATTACCCAAGAATGTTTCTTTCTGCTCTGTGTAATATGCTGTCTTCCTGTAAGACACACACACACACACAGGGCTGTTCATTAAGGAGCTCTCTGTCATGGGTGTCCACTGAATAATCCTTGTTCCCTCTTAGACCAGTGACATGCATTTGGGATACGCTTTACTGAATCAGGAAAGAGCCTTGAAGCAATGAATAAGCATGTCCCCAGAGCAATGCTAATTGGAGGATTCCAGCTTAACCCTGTGACCTTGGTTCAGGGATCACCACGAGTGTAGCCACCAGGTCCAAACCACAAGTGCAATCCAGGCACAGAGATTTCTCTGTGAAATAGAAAGTCCAAATGCTGTGCTGGAACCAAGAGAAGAAAGAAAATCGTGAGTGGGAGTTCAGGCTTTTATTGCTCTCTCCTTCTCCTCCTGTGTCCAGGAGTCAGAGATAGCGGACAGGCCAGTGTTACTCCAAGTAAAACTACACACAAAGGGTTTAACTCACCTCCAGGGAAGGGCTGGGAATACTTGAGTCCTGCCCAGGAACCTAAATTTAAAGCAAAGCACATTTTGGACATTAAAATCAATGCAGGGAACAGGACTATAGGAAGCAGTACACCAACCCCACAGATCTCCTGTCAGGGACTGAGGTTACAGGGATGCAGATTTATTCTATTTTTGAAGCCTAGCCTTCCTGGTAATCAGGAAGAAGTTAAAATAATAATAATAATAATAATAATAATAATAATAATAAAATAAAATTTTAAAAAGCCGAAGCGGTTTGGCTCAGTGGTAGAGTGTCGGTCTGCGGACTGAAAAGTCCCAGGTTCGATTCCAGTCAGGGTCATGTACATTGGTTGCGGGCACATCCCCGGTAGGGGGTGTGCAAGAGGCAGCTGGTCAATGTTTCTCTCTCATCGCAGTTTCTAGCTCTCTATCTCTCTCCCTTCCTCTCTGTAAAAAATCAATAAAATATATTAAAAAAAAAAAAAAAAGACTAGCTGTTCCCTCTTAGACAATTCCACAGAAACTTCAAGAAATTTGTGGGGAGCTGGCCATTACTTCCAATTTTAGGGTGGTGCATAGAAGAATCATCCCCTTTTATGCTCTGCCCCATCGAAATCCCACCCATTCTCCTTTACCTGATGGACATTGAGCCAAAATGAAGAAAAAGACAAAAACAAAGTACAGCATCTTCCTGCTCAAGGCCATTGTGGGCAGAAGACGTGTCTCTGCATCTCTGAGGCAACAGGAGGCTCACTTATATTTGAGAACCATGTGCCCTGCAGTTGGCCAGTGAAGTGAATCAACAAAGAGAGCACACGGACATGCTCCATTTCCCAGGGTCAAGAGCAGACAGGATGGGGTCAGCCCTCAGCCTCTGTTAAGCACTCACTCGGGGGACCTTCCTGGGGTCATGGAAAGAACAGCAGGGGGGCATTGAAGCCCAGGGCCTCACACAGCTGTGCCCAGGAAGGGGGAGTCAGTTCCTCCTCCATCAAGTGGAAGAGAGAACATGGGCCTCCCACTGCCTCTCCAGGTGCTGCAAGGCTCTGTATGGTGATATCTGGACACCGGGGTCCTCGCCGGAGGCCTGGCCTGAGCTCAGCAAGGTGGGCCAGCACAGCCCTGGCTCCCATGATATTGTCTGTAAATGACCCAGGAGGAAGGGGGGAAGCAGTCAGGCCAGCACACAATCCCTGAGCCAGTAACAATGTCACCCAGCAGGTCCGAGTCATGTGACCAAGTCCTGGGAATTCATGAAGGAGGTAGGAGTTAGAAGTCGTCTTCATGTCACTGCAGCCAAGACTGCCGACCCTGTTGCCTCTGACCACGCGATGCGCTGTCCTCTGTTTCTGGAACAAACAACAGGACCACCCGCCAGTGCAGACGCTGAGGACAGACAGACTGAGTTTTTAAGGAGACGACCTTAAACAGGTTGCTTAATTTTTTTGAACTTCACATTCCTTATTCTTAACACGAGGATGTAGTCGTGGCAGGTCCTCACAGGACATGGGAGGGAGCAGCCTGAAAGAAGGGGTGGAAAGTCTGACCTGAGTACCTGGCTGTGGAGACTGGTACGACCTCACTCTTGACTCCATCCAGCTTGGAGCCAGCTTCTCCGGAAGTGCTTTTTCAGGGCCACCGTTCTTGAGGGACTGTCCCAGCCGGAGAACACGCCAGCACTGATGGCAGCATGCTTGTCCCCAGGCCTTGGAAGGTCACCTTCAGGAACACAATCTTGTGTGTGTGGGGATAGAGCTTAGTTTTTTAAGGTGATGTTTGGAAGAGAATAGGGAAATTTTGCATTTTCAATCTATCATTCTTAACTGGATTATTAATAATTTATAATGAACATGCACACAAAAAAATACCTAAAAATGTCATAGTAACCAAGGCTGAAGATGGATGGGACATCCCCTAATAGTCTTTTTAAGTAAGAATCTTCAGTTAATGGAAAATTTTTAAAGATAATACAGTACCCTTCCCACCCACCCCTATTATAATATCCACATTATTAATTACTAATGTTAATAACCATGGCACCTGTTCTTACATAAAATTTTGAAGGCTATTTAAATACATATTTAACAACTAAACTATTACTACTACTACTACTACACACACACACACACACACACACATACACACACACACGCACACACATGAAATGTCAATCAAGTACCCCATAAGCTCACAACTATCCAGGGAGCTGTTTGAGAATTGACTCTGATGCATGTGGCACTTAAAGGGTGTGGCATACAGGAAGAGTTGCTTTTTTTTTATTATTATTATTGATTTCAGAGAGGAAGGAAGAGGGAGAGAGAGAAACATCAACAATGACAGAATCATTTATTAGCTTCCTCCTGCACGCTCCAAACTAAGGATTGGGCCCACAACCCGAGCATGTGTCCTGACAAGAAATCAAACCGTGACCTCCTAGTTCATAGGTTGATGTTCAATCATTGAGCCACCTGACCAGGCAGGAAGAGAGAGTCACATCCTATCTAATAAAAGAGTAATATGCAAATTGACCATCACTCCAACACACAGATGGCTGCCCACATGTAGTCAAAGATGGCCACCCACAGGTGAACACACGATGGCCAGCAAGGGAGGGCAGTTGTGGGCAATCAGGCCAGAAGGGGAGGGCAGTTGGGGGGAACAAGGCCTGTAGGGGAGGCCAGTTGGGGGTTGGGGGGGAGGACCAGGCCTGCAGGAGAGGGCAGTTGGGGGGGATCAGGCTGGCAGGGGAGGGCAGTTACAGGTAACCAGACTGGCAGGGGAGAGAAGTTAGGGGCAATCAGGCTGGCAGGGGATTAGTTAGGCATCAATCAGGCTGGCATGGAAGTGGTTAGAGGTGATCAGGTTGGAAGGCAGAAGCAGTTAGGGGCAATCAGCAGGCAGGCAGGTGAGTGGCTGGGAGCGAGCAGTCCTAGACTGTGAGAGAGATGTCTGACTGCTCATTTAGGCCTAGGCCTAAACAGGCAGTCGGATGGATAGTCCTCGAGGGGTCCCAGATTGAAGAGGGTGCAGGCTGGGTTGAAGGACACACACACCATACACGAATTTCATGCACTGGGCCTCTAGTTTTAAAATAAATGGTGAGCCCAGGGGTTGAGCACCAACCTATGAATCATGAAGCCACAATTCAATGCCTGGGTTTTGGACTCAATCCCCAGTGTGGAGAGTGCAGGAGGCAGCCAATCAATGATTCGCATCATTGATGTTTCTCTCTCTCTCTCTCCCTCTTCCTTCCTCTCTGAAATCAATAAAAATGTATTTAAAAAGATAAATGGTGATGGGTGTGCCCCATGAAGCAATGTGCCGAGTGTGTGCGGCTCATAGATACTGGTGTGGAAACCTAGTCACCCCTGGGCTTGGCACCAACTCTGCCTGACACATTGGGACATCACCCAGGTCCTGCCAGTGTACAGGGAGCAGATCAAGGCTGTCATGGCGCATTGGTAAGGTTAGAAATCCCAGCTGTGTCTCAATTGCTGACAGATATCCATAAGAAAACAACCCTAATGGGATTATTTAGAAACAAAAGTACAGATCCGTTCAGAAAGGTAAGAAGCAGAGAATCCAAGATGGCTGCACAGGTAAATACATAGCCACAGCCGCACACAACAATTTCAATAAAATACAACTAAAATATAGCCGAAGCTGGTTTGGCTCAGTGGTAGAGCGTCAGTCTGTGGACTGAAAGGTCCCAGGTTCTATTCCGGTCAAGGGCATGTACATTGGTTGCGGGCACATCCCCGGTAGGGGTGTGCAAGAGGAAGCTGGTCAATATTTCTCTCTCATCAACATTTCTAGCTCTCTATCACTCTCCCTTCCTCTCTGTAAAAAAATGAATAAAATATATTTTTTTAAAAAATACAACTAAAATATAAAATGGACATTACCCAGAACTACAGGAAAGTCGACTGACTGGAAATTCTACAACGAGAAGCAAGGAGAAAACCAGAAGGAAGAGCAGAGGAGCTGTAAAAGCCTAAGGTACAGAGACACGCGGCACGCTGAGAAGACGGAGCCGGAGAGGAGGGGCGGCTGAGGCCTGGCTGGCGTTCCCTACCAGGAAGGAGATAAAAGCTCCAACTGTGCTGGGCCCCAGACCCAACAGTGCTGAACCCCAGTTCTAGGCCAGACCCTGGGGACCCAGGCTCAAATAAAGGGAGCCGGGGCCGTGAGGTGGAATTTCAGGGGAGCGGCGAAAGCAGAGCCCCTGGAGGAGCGCACACTGCGCGCAAAGGACAGACAGTTGACTCTGCTGCTGGATTGCCCTAGCGGGAAGGAGACAAAAGCTCCGGACTGTACTGGGTCCCAGTTCCAACTCCTCTGAACCCCAGTACTAGGCCAGGGGACCCAGGGGACCCAGGGGCGAAAGGAGGCCCCGGAGGCGCGCACATTGCACGCAGAGAAGGGATGGTTGGCTGTGCTGTGGGATTGCCCTGGCAGGAAGGAGATAAAAGCTCCAGACTGCTCTGAATGCCACCTCCAACTCCACTTCCAACTGAACTGAACCCCAGTTCTGGGATCATTGGGGGACAGCCTAGACTGTTTGGTAGCAGGCGAAACTTGAGGGCACCTTTCTCTCAGAGGTGCTTGCAGCGAGTACTGAAGGACCCTGGGGAATACTGAGACTCAGAAGCCATATAGGGTGGGGCTGACAGAAGCCAAGGTTGTAGGCTCCACCCTGAAACCCCGCCCCATCCAAGCAGAACACAGAGACTTTTAAGGCTACCAACTCAGGGAAGCTGCGAAAATGCCGAGACAAGAAAATAGATCACAAACAAAAGAAATGGAGGACAAAAAGCAACTGGATATAGAGTTCAAATCTATGCTTATAAGCTTTTTCAAGAATTTCCTAGAAAAGGTCGATAAGACCTATGAGGATATGTAAAGGGATCAACTAGAATTAATAAGGGATCAACACGAAATAATAAGGGATCAACAAGAAATAATAAGGGATCAACAAGAAACAAAGAATACATTGTCTGAAATAAAAAATATTATACAGAGTACTAAAAACAGAATGGAAGATCGCAAGAATCAAGTCAAAGATTTGGAACATAAAGAGCCAGAAGACACTCCTCCACAGAAGCAAGAAGGCAAGAGAATCCAGAAAATTGAAGATAATGTAAGAAACCTCTGGGACAACTTCAAGAGAACCAACATCAGAATTATGGGGGTCCAGAAGATGAGAGAGAGCAAGATATCGAAAACATACTGAAAGAAATAGTGACAGAAAACTTCCCCCACCTGGTGAAAGAATTAGACTTACAAGTCCAAGAAGCACACAGAACTCCAAACAAAAGGAATCCAAAGAGGACCACACCAAGACAAATCATAATTAAAATTCCAAGAGCAAAAGACAAAGAGAGAATATTAAAAGCAGCAAGAGAAAAGCAGGTAGTTACCTATAAAGGAGCACCTATACAATTGTCAGCTGATTTCTCAACAGAAACCATGCAGGCCAGACGGGAATGGCAAGAAATATTCAAGGCGATGAATAGTAAGAACCTACAGCCAAAAATAATCTATCCAGCAAAGCTATCACTCAGAATCGAAGGCCAGATAAAGAGCTTCACTAATAAAAAAAAAAAAAGCTAAAGGAGTTCATCACCGCCAAACCAGAATTATATGAATTGCTGAAGGGGGTTCTTTCAGAAGAGAAAATAAATAAAGATAAAAATTATGAACAACAAATATGTAACTATCAACAAGTGAATCTAAAAACCAAGGAAGCCACTTCTAGGAATATATCCCAAGAAACTAGAAACACCAATCAGAAAGGATATATGCACCCCTATGTTCATAGCAGCACAATCTACAATAGCCAGAATCTGGAAACAGCCTAGGTGCCCGTCAGCTGATGATTGGATCCAAAAACTTTGGTACATCTACACAATGGAATACTATGCTGCCATAAAAAAGAAGGAATTCTCATCATTTGCAGCAACCTGGATGGAATTGGAGAACATCATGCTGAGTGAATTAAGCCAATCAATGAAAGAGAAACACCACATGACCCCACTCATTTGTGGATAATAAAGATCATTATAAACTGATGAACCAAAAGATAGATATAGAGACAGTAAAGCAACAAGCAGATTGTCAAATTACAACGGGGAGTGGAGGAGGGTCTGGGGGAGACAATAAATCAACCCAAGGACTTGTATACATGCATATAAGTACAACCAATGGACATAAAACTCTGGGGAGGGAGGGGATACGTGGGAAGGAAGGAGGGGGGCAAAAAAAAAATCAATAAAATATGTAAAATAAAAAAAAATAAAAAATAAATAAATAAAAAATAAATAAATAAATAAAATAAAAAAAAATAAATAAAAACCAAGGAAGCCGAGACCGGTTTGGCTCAATGGATAGAGCGTCGGCTTGGGGAATGAAGGGACCCGGGTTTGATTCTGGTCAAGGGCAAATACCTTGGTTGTGGGCATATCCTCAGTAGGGGGTGTGCAAGAGGCAGCTGATCAATGACTCTCTCATCGATGTTTCTAGCTCTCTATCTCTCTCCCTTCCTCTCTGTATAAAAATCAATAAAATATATTTTAAATAATAAAAACCAAGGAAATTAAAAAAAAACTGATGAACAATATTAACTGGGGAATATAATAGAATCAGAGGTATGGAAGGGGAGTGAACTGACAATTCTTGGGGGGAAAGGGAGAGTGGGACGTGGGAAGAGACTGAACATAAACTGTGCACCTATGGATGAGGATAATGGGGGGTGGGGAAAGGGCAGAGGCTGGGGTGGGAACCTGGTGGAGAAGAGCAATGGAGGGGGAGAGGGGAGAAAGAGGAACATTTGTAATTATATGAACAATAAAGATTTATTTTTTTTAAAAAATCCCAGCTGCCAGACCACAGCTTCTTCGCCCCTGCTGACAAATATGTCTGTGCTGGGTCCTCAGTGCACACCTGCTGTGCCCTCCCGACAGCCCCACGTTCTTTCTTGGGAGCTGTCCAGAGTAAAAACACTATCCAGACAAGCTGCAGGCTGACACCCACCAACGTACGTGGGCTCGGTGCAGCGAGTGCAGAGACAGTTCTACATGCCTCAGCGATCAAGATGGTATTGGGTCTGGGAAATCACATAAATGGGCTTACTTGCTTCATTTTTCATGGACACCAAGCTGGTCTTTCCAGACCCTGCAAGTCATGAAGACAATCCTCTTTCTCCTTGCTGTTTTCCTCCTTTTGGCCCCAGGTAACATGAGCCCCTTTGCAGGATGGGCATTGGAGGTGGTGGACCGGAGATCAGGCCTGCCTCAGGGAGGACGTGGCCAAGGTCGGCTCCAGAATCCAAGGGTGCCCTGGGCCCCATGGCCCTCAGGGGACCACAGGCTCCAGGAGTGACACTCCCCTCGTGCCTCTTCTACAACGCTCTGCATTGTCTATTGCTCTCTGGGTTGGGTGGCAGGATTGCAGAAACACAGATAAGCCAGGAGAGGTGACCCCATGCTCACTAGCCAATTTCCAGCGTGGAGCATGCAGGAGGCAGCTGATCTACGATTCTCTCTCATCACTGATATTTCTGTTTCGCTCTCTCCCTCTCCCTCCCTCTCTGAAATCAATAAAAATATATTCTTTAAAAAGTTTAAAAAAATAAAAACCAAACCCACAGATTTGATAAGAGAACAATAGTGTCTGTTTCCCAAAGCCCTCAGAACACTGGGAGCCATGTCTGTCCTTCCTGTTCTGAGACCCGATAGAAACCATTTCCCCTTCCTTCTCAGGGCAGAAGAAGCACCAGGCCATCTAGGACAGGATATTCCCCAACAGTGCCCTCCCTGGCTGTGCCTGGTAACCAGACGTGGCTGAGAACTAACCCTATGGCCCTTCCCTTGTGTAGCCAGGAATATGTTTTTTCATCGGAAATGCTCCAACCTGAAAGGGAGATGTGCGGAATCTTGTCAGAAAAATGAAGAGCTCATTGCTCTCTGCCAGCGGGCTCTGAAATGCTGCCTCATCCTCCAGCCCTGTTCCAACAGCGACAATGAGTTATTCCAGAAGAAGCCTTTCAGGACCACCAAGATGAACCTGACCAGACCGCCTATCCCACCTTTCTCAAATCTCCCACCTGTCAGGTCTCCCCGCCCACTGACAGGTGGGTCTCCTCTCCCACCTGTCATGTTCAAGCGCCCTTGAGATGCTGCAATAAACATGAGTGGCTGGCTTCCAGCAATGTGTCACGTGCTTCGCCTGGATGGGGACCATAAGTTGCCAACCTTGACTGTCCCTGGATCCTTTTTCTGGGGTTTTGTTGCTGTTGCTCTTGTTTTGTTTTGGTCAGGGAACTGATATTTCTTTTTAAAGGGGAATTCCTGGAGTCTATAAATCAACAGACCTATAGATTCCTCTCATGAAGTCAGCCCCAAGCAACCTGCTGAGATAGATAGACTATGATGATAGAGAGACAAAGATGGATATAGAGACAGAGAAAAATAGAGATAGAGATAGAGATGTAGATGTAGACATAGTCATAGAGGTAGTTAAAGACAAAGACATAGACATAAATACAGATATAGATAGACGGATAAAGAAATAAATATACACCAGCATGGACAATTATATTAATAATAAATAAATAAATGACCATACCGGTTTGGCCCAGTGGATAGAGCGTCAGTCTGCGGACTGAAGGGTCTCCGGTTCAATTCTGGTCAAGGGCATGTACCTTGGTTGCAAGCACATCCCCAGTGGGGAGTGTGCAGGAGTCAGCTGATCGATGTTTCTCATCGATGTTTCTAACTCTATCCTTCTCCCTTCCTCTCTGTAAAAAATCAATAAAATATGTATTTTTTTAAAAGCAGAAAGACCTTGGCTAAGATTACCAAAAATAAATATAGATAGAAAGAAGGATAGATAGATAGATAGACCCTGTTTCCCCAAAAATAAGACAGTATCTTATATTAATTTTTGCTCCCAAAGATGCTCTAGGTCTTATTTTCAGGGGATGTCTTATTTTTCCATGAAGAAGAATATAGTACACATTTATTGTTAAATGAAAATAAAGGAAATTTTTTACCTGTATTTGGTACGGTAGTACGGTAATTGTCAACACAAACCAGACAAACTGAATCCTACAGTATCAAGAATTTACTCATTTATTCAATGACAATCATGTCATCATCTTCTGGAACATCATCATAACAATCCAATTCCTGAATTTCCTGGTGAATTTCTTGTGACTCCATTTCTTTCAGAATCAGTGGACCAAATCTCTCATGTTTAGCAATAGCACTGTCTTTAAATGAGTACTTCTTGTCAAGGTAGTCTGCTTGCAGTGCATTTGCAATGTAACTGTCAGTGATTTTCTCCCATGAATTATTCATCCAAGTCACAACTTCTTGCAGTTTAGGTTTCACAAAGTTTCCATGTTGATTTCTCTCCATTCTATTTTCAATGTAGTCATTAATTTCCATGCGCAAATTGTCTTTGAATGGCTTGTTTATTGCAATATCAAGAGTCTGGAGATAGACCATCATTCTTGCGGGAATCATTATCTGATCTATTTTTCTTTCGTGAAGAAATGTCTTCATGTCTTTAGCGTGGTGAGTGCTGGCTGCATCCCAGACTAGCAGACCTCTTTGGCTTCCTCGCATAACAAGTGGCAGCATTAAATCGACCCACTTCCTTATAACTGCTGTGTGGTCCAAGCTTTTTCAGTTTCAAGAATAAAAATGCCCAGAACACGTTCAATCTTTTCCTTCTTGCCCTTAGAAATGATTAAAGGTGGGATTTTAGTGCCATCCAGACGAATTGCCAAAATACAGGAAACATGTGCACTTTCGTAAGCAGTGGAGGAAATGTACACTAAGGAGGCACTGCACTGTTCAATTGTTGTTTGAGATGATTGGCCCATAAACACTACAGTTTCATCCATAGCAATCATGTTGGAAAGATTGTATTTAGAGAAGTCAGCATCATTAATAAAGGGCTTGAATGCAAGCGCTTGCTTAATAACTTGAGTATCTTCCAACCTAAACAATGTTGTAGATCTTCTTAAAGATAGTTCATTTCACTGAAGGAAATTATCTAGCCAGTGTTGTGATGCTTTGAAGTCTTCGGGGGTTATGTCAAACTGCGGTGCCATTGCTAGGGCAAATTCTTGAATCTGAGCCCTATTCGCAACCAAAGCCTTTGCTATCCTGTCAACAACCCATTCACAGAGCAGGTCTTCCAGCTCAGAAAATAATGGTTGCCGACCTGATTCATACTTGCGCTTTTTAGCATTTCCCTTGTCCACTTGTTCAATGAGGTTACCATACTCTGCTCGCCATTTTCGGACCAATCGGATACTCAACATCTTCTCTTTGAAGAAAGCAGTAAGATTTGGCCCCAAGAGTCTTCCACGATTCCTTTCTTGTACTTTACGGAGTAGCTTTTTCTTTTTGTGCTCATTTCTAGGGGTAAAAAAAAAAGGAATTGGGGTATCAAGGTGGGGGGAGGGGGGTCACTTAAAATGACACAGAGGGGATCAGAGGGGGGAATCAAAATGGCACATGAGAATCAGAGGAGGAATTACCATTTTAGTAACCCCTTTTGATCCTCCTGTGTCATTTTGATTGCCCCCTCTGATCCTCTTGTGTCATTTTAAGTGATCCCCCTCCTCCCACCCCTGTGCCATTGAACACCTTCACCAGACATCTCCTTTACTCCTTTATCAGACATTTACCCCCTGGGGCCTGCCTGGGGACTATCACTGGGCTTGCTGGGGCCTGGATCTGGGCTGGAGCAGGGTCTGCCACTGACTAAGAACCTTCAGTCATCTTGAGGGTGGCCACAAGCATCAGGTAGTGTCACCAGAGACAGACCAGCACTCACCACCTTCGCCGCGTCCCATCCACTCTAATCCTCCTGTTCTTCTATATGCATCTGCGAAAGTCTCCTCCTCTCTCCTGCCCTGCACTCACCACTCACTCTGACCTCCACTCCGCCTCCACACAGCAGTGACGTCAGGACTCCGCATAACGTCACTGGTTGCTAGACGCCAGTCGGGGTGGCCCTAGTGACCAGTTTACAGTAAATTAATTTTCATTCTGAGACACAGCCTAGGGGGGTCCTTATTTTCGAGGGGATGCCTTATATTTCACTCAGAAGTAAACCTGTAAGTAGGTCTTATTTTCAGAGGATGTTTTATTTTCTGGGAAACACAGTAGATAGATGGATTACCTACTTACCAAAAACTCGCATGTGTCACTCAACCATGGAGGTTAATTTTTGATCCAGGTCTTTAATTGGAGGCATTGCTGCCTAGGCATTTGTCCTGCTTTCTACATCTGGATTCAAATTTGCTGATGGGCAAATAGCTAGAATAAAACCCTTTTTTTCTTCTCCCTGCCTGATGCTTCCAGAATTAGGAAACTATTCTTTATTCTTATTTCTACGTCAACATAATTATTTCAGTAATATCAATTAAAATATTATCCTTGTAACAAAACACAATTGGAAACACTGCTTCTATCACCTCGACTGTGACTAGAATGCCATCCTTGCTCCTAGAATTAGGTGCCTAGAATCCAGCTTAAGGAACAGAGTTGACTTTAGGGAGCCCAGTTCCTGACTAATAGGCTCCCCAGCCTTATGGGTTCAGCACTTCCTGGCGGGCCAGGCTCCTGGGGGTATCATGGGACCTCAGACATTCTCTATGTCATTTCAGTCTTTCCCCACAAAAACCTGCTGTGAGTGTCTTGCCTCTTATCCTCAGGGGCAATTGATCACACTGACTGACTATTGTTTCAGTGAGAGGTGACCTTGACACAGACAAGGTCTGTGGCTATGGGACTGCTCGCTGCCGAAGGAATTGTAAGAGACAGGAATTCAAAATTGGATTCTGCCCCAACACTAACCCATGCTGTCTGAAAGGACGGATGGCATCTCATTGAATCCGGTGAAATACCCAAGCCCACTGGGGCTGGTCCCTAGACGCGCCAGCGGCCGACCTCAGAGCCTCCTTTATGAGAGCTGACAGCAGGAAAGTCCAGGGGCAGCCCCTGAGCTGGGTATGACAGGAGGGTTTGTTGAGGCAGAGTGGGGCCGGCAGAGTGGGGCGGCAGCACAGCAGACACCAGAGCCTCAGTCTCCGGGCCCCCGACAGCCCTTCTCTCTGTGACAGGAAGTGAAGCAATGCAAGTAAACTGAGTCTCAGCACTGCAAAGCCTAACTAACATCTACCTAATCAACCACAGCCTCAGTGAGCATCGAGTGTTTTGTTGTGGCTTAAGTTATAGCAAATGATCTTAAAACATTGTTGTTTTTCTGATCAGAAGTCCTGCTCTACAGTCATGTATGACTTTTGTTCTTTAATTTAGAAAATAAATCAATATTAAAGTTGTTTGGTAAACACTGTAAACACATCAACATCCTGGGAGGAAAACAATGTATGATGAGAAGTGTGCAGACTAAGGGGTTGACCCATGTGGATGTCTGAGTGTCACACCCAGCAGGTGGCAGCAGAGAGCAGGTGCCCTGGGCATGTTAGGGGTTGCATCCACTCACTGTCCCTAAGGAAAGGGAATAATAGAACCTTTCTCCTGACTTTCCTGTCTAAACTGTGTCATGGTAACCAACAGATTTAGGACGAAAAGCTTTTCTCTGCAAAAGTAGCACAGCTGATGAATGAAGTAAGGATAGAATGAGAATGTCACTATTTTGCAAACACCTAGGGGACTAATGATCTAGCCTGTAATGAGAACAACGACTGGTACTGCGTGCCTCCAAGTAGACGTCACGCTGTCACCCGTTAAGCCCACCTATGCTCTCCCTGGAGCCACCTCACTAACCCAACTCATCCCTAGACAAGCCTCCTCCTGGATTATTTCCAAGAACACTCAAGATGCCTTATCATTTCCTTGGAAAACACTTCGGAATATATAACCCAGAGAAAAATGTAATCACAGTGCTATTTCCACACCCGGAAAAAAACTAGCACTTGCTTCTTAATATAACTCAATAGTCAGCAAGTGTTCAAACGCTCTCAGGTTTTGTAAGCGCTCTCATAAGTCAGTTTCTGAGAACTAGGTCCCTAAAGGCCCGCATAACGCCATTGGCCGTGTCTGAAATAGCCCCTCCCCCTCAAGTGTGATTGACATAGCCATTTTCATAATGACCGCTCCCCTCAGCCCAGACAAAGTCACGCTATTTTACAAAGTTGCACTCTTTTAATTGTCATGAATTAATAGCAAAAGAACAAAGGCAGATTGTTCTAGTTTATTGTTTCCATAATTAGCAAGACATAGTTGACACGCTGCATACACATTTGGAAACTTGACAGCATTGCTGTGTTTTCGTTCTGTTGTGGCCGGCCCAGTCGAGGCAGGGCTCCAGATGGCAAGCAAGACCCTATGGAGGCAGGACTCCAGGCCAGGGAAGGAACGAGCAACCAGACCCACAACAAAGAAGGTAGCATAACTTTTAGTCATAAAATAGTTCTGTTGCAAGGCTCAACCCCCAGGCAGGCATGTCCTGTTTACAGTAGCCGCAAGGCAGGACAAACAGACCAAACCAGGTCAAACAGAGACTGCTTAAACTGAAAATACACCCCCACCCCAGGTGTTGTATAAACTTTAAATGTTACTGTACTAGTGGAATTTTTCTATAACTTATAACTGACGTTTTTTTGTTAAAACTTTTAGCCAATCATAATCTGCCAGGCATCTCTAAGACAGGGATAAAAGTAGCATGCTTAGAGTGGGTCAGGGCTCTCGTTGCAGGGAGGTGGGGGGAAGACTGCTGGAGGAATGCATATAGACAATTATAAGAAAAAGGCAAAGTGGAGAAGGAGAAATAAGAATGGGTCTATAGCAGTTGGGTCTATTGCTAAAACCTTAGAAATACCATTCAGGTCTGTGGACAAATTCTACTGCAATTATCACACTAAATATTAATCTTTGGGGATCTTGAGTCACTGAAGAAAAAAGGCTTAGTAAATTCATAATAGATCAGCTCAGGTAAACTAGTGAGGAAGTGTATAGAATATGTTAAAATAATCTTCATCAAGATAATTTTTGAAGTGTTATCATTTAAAGGAGGAAATCAGCTGCTATTGGAAAAATGCCTTTCATAGACAAACTCATTGCTTAACAGTGATCAATAAATGAGGCCTTACTGTATGTTGTCTTCTCAAATGTATTGTTTCCTTTTTTAAATGTTATCTTCAGAGAGAGATCTGTTTGTTTATTACTTGCTTAGCTATCTTTAAGTATATGATTTGCTCCTTGTTCAAGTTGTTTATGAAAGTGTCACGATAAAATATAGTGACCTACAGAAAAATGACCTATAGATCTAATTCCATTCCAAGAATTCAAGGGACTTTCCAAATTAATTTATTTGAATTCTGCTTGGGAATTTGCAGTTCAGAAACGAGTAGAGAGACACTAATGTTTTTATCATCTATAAAGTTAGGGTTTCTAAGCAGATGACTTATGTTTAACTTCCAGAAAACTAAATTCTTAAGTATCATCAAAGTTTTGTTACAGGTCTCTGTCCACAAACAAATGGTGTGTTGTATCATATTTGACAACAATCTTGAAATGATTGATTTGTTTTTCAAAGAGTCACATGTTTTTTCCAACCCTCTGTCATTTCTTAAATGGATCTGGATTAGCGAGGTGTAACCACGTAATTTTAAATTCTCTGCTAACTAGGAATAGGAAATTTGTAAATGTACAATAAACGTTCCGCTTAGTCAGAACGATTGAGGATGACTGTCAGGTGCTCATCTACAAAATGAAATAAATTTACATGTTCAAAAAATAAAGCAAATGTCAGAAACTGCAGATTAAGCAACTGTTCACTTGGAAGTTCCAAGAGAATTTACTGCGTCAGTTATCAGCCCGGCGCTTTGCGCCTGCGCGGGGGACGCTCTGGAGCAAGATGGCGGCGCCCAGCCTCCCCACTCCCGAGCACGGGCACGTGGGCCGGGGCGCCTTCCGCGACGTGTACGCGCCGGCGGAGGACACCTTCCTGCTCCTGGACGCTCTGGAGGCGGCGGCGGCCGAGCTCACGCGGTGCGAGTAGGCGAGAGTCCCCGTGGGGCCGCGGCCGGGCGTCCTGGAGGCGGCGGCACAGGGCCCAGGAAGTGACCGGAGGCGGGGTCCACCCGGGCCGGTTAACACCGGAAGCCGTCACCAGGTTCCCCCCAGAAACAGTAGCGAGGGCGCCGGGGTTCCCTCGGGTCGGGGTCGGGGTCGGTGTGGGCGTGGGTATCCGGGCTACGAGCGCTGCGGGCGGCCTTCCGCACCTTCCCAGCCACACCGGCCCCCGCGGCTCATTACCGCGAACCAGGAAGACGGGCCCCCGCGTCGCTGAGTTTACCCGGAAGCCGCCGGCGCCGGGGCACAAACCGGAAGTGAGGTTGAGATCCCGGGATGGAAGTGATTGTGTTAATTCTCCCTGGAAGATATTTTTCTGGTTGATTTTTAGAAAGAGAGAGAGACGGAGGGAGGGAGGGAGGACAGAGCGAGAGAGAAAGAGAGATTGTAAAAACTTAGTTACCTGCAGCCTCCATGGTAGCACCTTACAAATAATAACACTGACCTGTTGAAATGCTCACTGTAAACTTCAAATTTAATGACCGAAAAGAATGAATGCCTACATTGTCAATTTTTTAAATGAAAGGAATTTGGGTAGTTAGATGTATTTAAAAATTAAGCCTTGAAGTGGCCTTTCTCAAGATGAAACAGCTATGTGTTCATTCCTCTCTCTTTTTTAAAAAAATATATTTTATTGATTTTTTTACAGAGAGGAAGAGAGAGAGATAGTCAGAAACATCGATGAGAGAGAATCATCGATCTGCTGCCTCTTTCGCACCCCCCACCGGGGATGTGCCTGCAACCAGAGTACATGATCTTGACTGGAATTCAGGACCCCCGGCGCCCCCCTCTCCCCCTCTTCCCCCCCCCCCCCCTAGTTCGCAGGCCAACACTCCATCTACTGAGCCAAACCCGATTTGGAACATTCCTCTTAAACTTGGTTTGATTTTTCCATGTATAAAATGGCCCAACTATTATTACAAACTAATTTTCATTGTAAACTATAGAACTTTTGGATTTACTGAAATCTAGACTAAAACGTTTTCTAAATCATGGCATATCAATGATTTACAAGCACAAATTGGGCTCCACAGTATGCTGTACAAGAACCTAATTTTGTTTTAAAGTTTTGGATATTTCTGGTATTGGAATTTTAATTAATTATGTGGTCATAACAGTTTATTTAAAATATAAACTGCCTGGTAAGAGTCAGTAGACCTTCCTATAGCATAATAAAGGTTTGTCAGCTATGGGACTGGTTCCTAAAGTTAGGAACCCCAAATTCTGTTACTGGGTAATTGGGGAGTTGGGTATTAGTGAGACTCCCTAAATCCCACCAAACCTATTTCTGTAGTGGGGATACTTGGTGCTTTTCACACCAGATATGTATGTAATTATAGGTAAGGAAATAAATTTAATTGAAGGACAAAATACAGTAGAATGGAGATACTCACTGACAGCCTTAAGATTATTACTAATACTTTAAGATCAAATACTTCAATATTTTCCCAATTTAGTAAATAGTACAAATATGGGATTTCTTTGCTGCTCTAAATCTGTTACCTGTAGAATGGGGTAACTTTCCTTCCCTAGGATATGCTGACAGGTTTATGAATGTTAAATATGTTTAAATTATAAAGAAATGTCTTTCATAAATAAATATAATAATCTAACTATTTTTTTTGGAAATACTAAACTAGGAACTTCTCCTGGAAAGAATTGTCTTTCATATTAAAATGTCTAACCCTAAATTAACAATATTTCATAGCTTTTATGTAATGTGCTATAGAAATGAATTGAAAGCCAACTATTACTACATACTAATAGACTACTATATTACTACATACTACATAGACTTAAACTACATACCCAAAATTTTAACAATTTTGAGCTGTGCAATATTAAATGAGGACAAAGCAGTTGTCAGAAAATTAAGTCATTTATAAACTTATTTTATATTTGTATATTTTTGTGACATCCTGTACCTCAGGTGGGTGGTAATAGGGGAGAAATGGGCTAAAAGTACGTGAGAGTTCTTTCCTGTGATGTGTGTTTGCTGCAGCTGTAGTAACGGACTTTGTTTTGTTTAGAGTGGAGCTATGCCTGGAAGTGGGATCGGGCTCTGGAGTGGTATCCACATTCCTGGCCTCCATGATAGGCCCTCAGGCTCTGTACCTGTAAGTGTAAGGAGGTCAAAGGCACTCAGAGATTCATTGTACATACTATTAGGTGATGCATGAATGAAATCATTTCTGTAATTAGATAATATGTACCTGATGGCGTCAGTTTTAGTAAGAACTCAGATTGCACATGAACTTCCCTAAAAATTGTAACTGCGTGTTTTATTCCATCAGAATGGATAATTATAGAAGCTGCATAACAATTGTAGGTCATCTCTAAATTTGAATTTTTTGAGGTAAATAGTTTATCACAAATTAATTGGAAGTTACCAGAATTTCTTTTGAAAGTTCAGAATATAGAAATTATAAAGGTAAAAATTACTATAAATGTTATCACATGTTTGATTCAGTTTTTTTTTTCCTATTTCCTATTTTTCAGTTAATATGGTATCATAAGCATTTTCCTTCCAAAAATTCTTTAACACCTAATCAGTCACTGGTAACTGACACTATAATTTGCATCCAGAAGATGAAACAGGCGTGGCACTTAATGTTTTAAATTTTATTTTTTCATGGCTGTATAGTATTCCTTCATTGGATTTATAATTTAATAACTTCCTTCAGATGTGCGTGTGGTTATGTGTATTCTACTTTTGTACATTATCCTAGATAATAAAAGGCTAATATGCAAACCAACCGAACAATGATGTGCACTGACCCCCTGGGGGCAGACGTTCAATGCAGGAGCTGCCCCCTGGTGGTCAGTGCGCTGGCAGCTGGGGTCACAGCTGACCAGCACAGTGGCGGCGGCGGGAGCCTCTCTTGCCTCCACAGCAGGCCTAAGCCATCACTTGGACATTTCCCAAGAGCTCCCAGACTGCACTACAAGAGGCACAGGCTGGGCTGAGAGACCACCCTCCCCCGTGCATGGATTTTGTGCACTGGGCCTCTAGTATCAATATAATCACCTTTTTTAATCAATGTAATAAATCTTCATTCTTTTCCTACCATTATGAAAGTATTCATTTTTTTAAAAATCTGCTTCACGAAAAAGGAATGGAATTCCTTGAATTTTTCAGAAACCAATCTGTCCCCTGGGCATAGGATATAGTTTTTCCTTTTCTGTCGTAGGTGCACTGACATCAATCCCAACGCAGCAGCTTGTACCCTGGAGACCGCACGCTGTAATCAAGTCCATGTGCAGCCCGTAATCACTGATTTGGTGAGATGTTACTCCTTGCTCAATAATAATTAATTTCCTTTTCAGACAAGTTAGGGTCAGCAGGATTTAAGTCACAGATACTTGAGTGATTAATTTTTAACCCACTAAGCAGTATATCTCGCAATTTATAAGTTCTTGACTGATATAATAAATACTTTGTTCACAGTTCACTGGGGATTTCTGTTGACTTGTGTACAGCAGGCTCTGTCTGTCACAATGACAGAATCCACTTCAAACTGGCTTCACTCGAGTGGGTGGTTTCAGGCACAGCTGATTTTAGGAACTCAGCTGCCGTTACAGGCGCCCTTTTCTTGGGTCTGAGCTTCTCTCTAGTGGCTCTGTTCCTGGGAAGGCCTCCCTGATGGTGGCAGGATACTTTCCTGTCCGCATCTTATTCCCCAGCAGCCCCCAGAAAGAAGCCCTGTCTTCCAGCAAAAGCCCCAGAAGGACTCTAGCGTGGATCGGTTGGGGTCATGCGTCTTTCTCTCAATCTAAATCCTCATAAAACAGTTCTCCTGGTTGTAGACAGTAAATACTTAGCTCAGAGCCTATAGCTTTAAAGCTGTGCTGTTTGTACAGGACAAATGTACAAATTAGACCTTCCTTCTCACTTCTAAACGTGCAACCAAGTGTCAAAACGTGGGCTGAAGGGCTGTGTCTCCTGAACACCATCTTCATTCTGATAAATAGTCTTATTTCCTTATTTTTAGGGAAATTCATATAATCTTTATTTGAGTAAAAATGTAAAAATATTCCTCTCCACTTCTGTTAATTAGTGTAGCTTGACAAATTTTTCTTTCTAAAAATAGATATTTTTTAATATGATTGATTTAATTTATACTCTGGTTTAAGGTCTGACAGTTGTTGAACATTTAGGTCAAAGGCTTGCTACCAAGACTGAAGGAGAAGGTTGATCTTCTGGTGTTTAATCCCCCATATGTAGTGACTCCGCCTGAGGAGGTAAGACATAACAGAATCTAATCGTTAATGCTGTCTACTGCTTCCTTTCTAAGGCAAGCGAATTTCATCATTCGATGTCATCTGTGGATTAACACAAACTGCTCTGATTAAACTGACCCATTGCCGTCCTTTAAATTGCATTCAAACTGGGCCATGGCATTTAAATTCATGTGTGTGTAACTGTGTGTGTGCATGCCCTTTAATTCCCCTTGAATTCTCATAGGAATTCTTTTTGAAAGTTTGAGGTTCCCTCCTCTCAAGGGTATTATGAGGCATTGTGTGTGGGAAAAGGAGGAAGTACGAAGGTAAAAGATAAACTTAGAGGTTAGATCCGGGAGAGATAATATACTGGTGATAGAGGTGCATACCGAAAGTTGTGGCTGTACTTACTAGTGTATCTAGACACACACACACACACACACACACACACACACACACACACACACAGGGCTGTGGGGTGGTCCCTGATCTGAACAGGTAGGTCAAGGTCTGGTCCTGCTCAGAGGTGAACCCGGGCTGCAGGCCTGGCTTGACTCTTCTCTCCTGAGGGACACCTCCCTCCTCTGGGTGTAAGAATGTGGCTGGTGCCAGCTGGTCTTCCCAAGGGCCCATCCAGTGCGAGCACCGACACTGGCTGAGCATCCCTGGGGGGCAGATCAGCAGGGCCAGTCCAGAGGGCCTCTGTCCACCCGGGAAGAGAATGGAGAAGGGCCTGGCCAAAGCTGCTGTCCCAGGCACCTGTCCGCAGACGCCATACTAGGTGCAACATCCGGAAAGGAGTCCACCGACGGGGAGGAAGGCACGACCCTGGAAAAGGAAGGAGTCCTAGGAATGCCAAAAGGGAAGTCTCTAGGAGGAAAGTTGGGACAGAAACAGGAAGGCATGAATTTCCTCAGGATTCACTTTGTGGAAAGTTGTACATTGAGGAAGATATGAGAATAACTTAAATACAAATGAAATTAAGCAAGTGGACACATTGAATGTTCATCAATAACTATGTATGATTATTTTCCATCATAAAATGTTATCCAGTCATTAAAAGCAAGTTAGAACTCAACTAGATTACATGAAGAGATTTCATAAGGTATTGCATAAGAAAAGAAAAATATACATAAATATACATAAAATTGATGATTGGACTATTGCCTCATTTTTCCCCCCAACAGTGGGAAAATTAATTTTTTATCATTATTTTCTAACTTTATAATTGGAAACTACTATTTTCCTAATTTTACAGATAAGGGAGGAAATGAATTCACAAAGACTACAAATTTATACAAGGTCACAAATGCCTTTTGTATGGCAGTAAAATACAAAATACGTATTTGTTTGATGACTGTTACTTGTCAAAAAGATTAAGTTTGAGCCTGGCTGGTGTGGATCAGTGGTTGAGCGTCAACCTATGAACCAAGGAGTCATGGTTCGATTCCATGTCAGGGCACATGCATGGGTTTCAGTCTTGATCCCCAGAAGGAAGCATGTAGGTGGCAACCAATCCATGATTCTCTCTCATCATTAAGCTGTTAACCGAGCTTAACTTATAAATACGTCAAATGTAAACAATATCTGGAACAAGGAGGACATATGAATACGTCCTTGAAATATATGTTGCACCCTGAAACGGACAATATATATTTTTTGTAATCTTTATAATTGTAAAATTTATAATTTTTTAATTCGATGTTTCCATTTTTTTTTGTTGGTATTCTTTTCTATTTGTTTGTAATTTTGTATTTTCCTTTGTGCTTTATATATAAATAAATGAAAAAATATATATTTCATTTATTTTAATTAAGTATAAATAAATAAAAATAATAATATGAAATTACGTCCACCGGGCGTGATGTACTGACACGTCCTAGTGAAAAAATATGCGCCCGTTATACGTTGCGTAATTAAAAAGGGAACTCCCTGGTTAACAGGTTAATGTTTCTCTCTCTCCCTCTCCCCTCTTCCTGAAATGAAAAATATATATATTAAAAAAAGATTAAGTTTGTGCCGAAATCAGTTTGGCTCAATGGATAGAGCGGCGGACTGCGGACTGAAAAGTCCTGGGTTCGATTCCGGTCAAGGGCATGTACCTTGGTTGCGGGCACATCCCCAGTAGCGGGGGGTGCAGGAGGCAGCTGGTTGATGTTTCTCTCTCATTGATGTTTCTAACTCTCTATCCCTCTCTCTTCCTCTCTGTAAAAAAATCAATAAAATATATAAGAAAAAAAAAAGATTAAGTTTGTGATTCTGAACGTAAGTTGAGTCAAAACAATCTTTCCACTGGTCACAGGTAGGAAGTCATGGAATAGAAGCAGCGTGGGCTGGTGGCAGAAATGGTCGAGAGGTCATGGACAGGTTCTTCCCGCTGGTTCCAGATCTCCTTTCGCCAAGAGGGATGTTCTACTTAGTCACCATTAAGGAGAACAATCCAGGTATGCAGATCACTATCAGACTGTACTCTATAAGGTCACCTGGGATGGTAGTATAATCACTGACGACTGACAGTGCGGAACTCATGCTGGAAGAGGGATTGTAAGAGGCTGGTTTGGGTTTTTTAAAAGGACCGTCCTGTGGTGGGAATGGCAGTTTCCTCCTAATTCCTAAACTAATTCAAACACAAAACCTTTTTTCTTCAACACTTCACCCTCCGTGTTGTGAATTCTCTCTCCTCTGGTCTTCATGCCCTTGAAAATTCTGCTGTGCACATTTAGCTCATCTGAAGTTTTATCATGAAAGCGATTTCATGTTAAGGATGTTTATGCCTTATCTTTCAGATTGCTTTGTAACTAAATTGACCATGTACACCTCAGGGTTTGATTTTTTTATGTTATACCTATATCCTCAGCCCTTCAAATCACATTATGATTACTAGGTTTTTGTTTTTTTTAACTCCATTTTCTTAGTTCAGTCTTCAGTGTTGTTTGTAAAAGGGAAGGTTTTGCTTTTTTTCAATGCACCTAAATGAAATGAGCTATTTTATTTACTATCGTTTTCCCATGTTACTGTACACTTGGTCCAAATCTTCATTGTTATTTTTTATGCAAAGGGGAGGATTTGAGCAGAGAATGGAGCCAAACAACTAAAAATCTTATTCTTGCTGTAATAACAAGGAGGCTCCACTGCAACACAGGCCATTCAGTCTGGCTAGAATTCTCAGTAACACCTGGAGGGTACGAGTGCTCCCACCTTTGTCAAGTCCAAATTCACTGTAGTAGAATCCTGCTTGGGGTGCATCGTTTTCTCAGATGAATATAATTTATCAATAGTCTGTATATTATTTATTAAACTGTTTAGCTATCATATACACTTCACCAAATGATTTGATTGAATTTTACCTTTGTTTTAATTTCCATTTTAGAAGACATTTTGGAAACAATGAAGGTGAAAGGTCTTCAGGGGACCACTGCACTTTCCAGGCGAGCAGGCCAAGAAATCCTTTCGGTCCTGAGGTTCACCAAGTCCTCACACGCTGTCTGCTCCCCGTTATAGCAAACTAGTAGCCCATCGCCCGATACCACGCACAGTAGGCTGCCCCCCACTTCTGCTGGAGCTGGGAAGGAGCCGTGCTGCTTCCATGGGAGGCGGGCCTGCCGTCTCCTCTCTGGGCTTGTGCTCGGCTGTGGGCTGGCCCCCTGTCCCTGTCCCTGTCCATGTTCACTCCGGCTCCAGGGGCTGGCACGAGCCAGGGCTCAGCAGCTCACCAGCCTCTTGTCTCCATCTCCGTTATGGGTCTCACCTGCGTGCACAACCTCCTCCTGTCTGGTTGTGACCCATTGTGGCGTCCTGGCCTAGTTTGCATACTCTCTCTCTCTCATTTTCCAGCATAGAAGACGACTTTTGAAATGAAAAAAAGTCAACCGAAAATCGGGGGTCATTTTAGACGTCGAGTATATCCCGAAAATAGGCGAATATAGGCCTAAACCTGTTTTAACTGTAAAGTTGGGGGGGTCGTCTTATACGCCCGGTCGTCTTTTTCGGTTGACTTTTTTGTTTCAAAAGTCGTCTTATACGCCGGAAAATATGGTGTGTGTGTGTGTGTGTGTGTGTGTGTATGTATAAATATGTATTACATTGAATATACATATGGATATACTAGTATATATTGTGTATGTGTATGTGTGTATAGATAGGCTGAATGTATTCACCATATTTTGAAACTGAAGTAATTTTTGGTTAACAAGTAAAACTCAGAAATTCGTCAAATAGAGAAAGGCGAGAGGGCTGGGCATCATCTTTCACCTATGAATCAAGCCTACAGACATACAGGAAGTGCAAGGAAATGTGTACATTGGGTATACTTGGTGTTTACATATAAATGATAGTTATATGTGAAAGGCCATCATTTCAGCATTGCCTAAAACAGCAAAACAAGGAAGTCAGCCAATGTGCCATCACCATAGGGGTTGGTAAAGTAAGTTACAATATGCCCAGGATCCTGAATGAGTGACATCTGGCCATCAAACGACTCGGATCTGTATGGCCTGAATCAGAGGGGTTCATGACATACTATTCAGTGAAAGAAATGTTACAGGACAGTATTGTCCCGCATGTATATTTTTAAAAGACCTACAGAGAGGGTAGATTGGTGTATATGGAAGTCTCAAAGACATCAGGTGGGAATGGAGGAACTTTTGCTTTTTTATAGCAGCATTTGTACAAGGATAATGTATTATATAATTTTTAAAAATTTTTAATTAAAAATTTTTTAAATATACTTTCACTTGTTATTGTATTCATTCTATTATTTATAAATTATAATTTATAGTGGCCCAGTGCATGAAATTCATACACATTAAAAGAGAATTAGAGGAAAGATATTGCTATTTGCCCTTTATAATAGAAGTGTTGAGATGAAAGAAAATTAGTAAAATGTATATGAAAATCATCCTCTTGTCAGAGTCTGGGGCCTGCCCTGGGACCCAGAGTCAAGTCCCCAACCACAAGAGTGCGCTTCAAAATCCCATGAGACTGAGACCCAGACCCAGCTGTACCCATCCCTGTTGGGCAAGATCCAGACCTAGCCAGCCCCACCCCCATCAAGCCCACCGGGCTGCGGGTGGCAGCGGTGAGGGGGAGTGCGGGATGGGGGGAATGCAGCCTCAGGTCCCCATCAAGCCTCACCAGGTGGGCGGTGCAGCAGGTTGGGGGGGGTAGCCTCAGATCCCCTGGTGCATGCTGGGCAGGGGGCGTGGCCTCAGGTGCCCCAGCACACCCTCAGGTCCCCTGGCTCAGCACTATGCTAGGGGAAGCAGCCTTGAAGTCCTTTGTCAAGCCAAGCCGGGCTAGTGGTGCAGCCTGAGGTCCCTGCTGATCATTTGTTATAGGAACCCCACCTCCGCTGTGGGTGCAAGCCATCTTGTGATAGCATGAGGGTTATTTTGCATATTATAGCTTTATTAATTATTCTCCTCCTTGGTAATATTTTTTCCCCTATCTTTTATCCTTTACCATATATTTGTTTTCTTCTTGCATATATATTGCAAATTGCTATACATTTTTTCTTAGACCAAGAATTATATGCAAACAGAGGCCTGATGCACGAAGATTCATACACTGGGTCTTCCTTCCCCTGGCTGCTGGGAGACACCTTTCCACCCCCCCACCCCCCCCTACCCCCCCCCACCCCCGCCAAGGTATGGAGTGACTGGGGTGGTTCGGAATGCCTGCTGGGTTAATTAACCCTGTTGGGTTAATTTGCATACTCCTCCTGATTGGCTGGTGGGCGTTGCGAAGGTATGGTGAATTTATATCTTACTCTTTTATTAGTATAGACAAACTGACCACTCAAGTGCAGTGGAGGAGATGCCTATCCAAGAAAAGTCAGAAGAACAAGGGTTGAGGACTCTACTCTTCAAGATTAATTAAAAAAAAAAAAAAGTGTAGAATGAACACAGATAAATAGGTCAGTGGAACAGAACACACCCGGGAATTTGGCAGCACGAGAAGGTGCAGGAACCTGGGATGAGATCCCGCTTCCTGCACCTTGTGATGCTGTGAGAACTAGCTATCCATATGGCTCAGGAGTTCCATGGTCCAGCACTCCAACATTTAATTCCAGGTGAATTAGGCATAGTTTTTTTTAAGCCCTGGGGAAAGAACGAAACTTTAAAGATTGACAAATTTGATTAAATCTAACTGGAAAATTATATACAATTAAAGAAAGCCACAGACCACATTATAGCCAAGCCCCGGCCAGTGTGGCTCAGTTGGTTGAGACTTGTCCCATGCACCACCTGTTCAATTCCTAGTCAGAACACACGCCCTGGTTGTGGGCTCAATCTCTGGTAGGGGGTGTGCAGGAGGCAGCTGATTGATGTCTCTCTCCCTCTCCCACTCTCCCTTCAATAAAAATATTTTAAAAGTCAAGCCCTGTACTTGAAGAAACCCTGTAATAGATGACCATTATAATCAATAAGATAATGAACTTACAAAATAAAGAGATGAAATGAAGTCTCTTGGGACAGGTAAATAGAAATGAAAATGACGACCTGCTTCTCCCAGCTGCCCAGGGGAGGAAGCGCCTTGTGGACTGAGCGCTGGAGAGAGGAGGGAAGCAGAGGCCCTTGGTGTGCCCCGGGGACAGCAGCCTGAGCCCATGGGAAGCCCCGGAGCAGGCAGCCCCCAGCTGCGGTCCCTTGGGGGCATTTACCCAGAAAATCGAGCACATTCGCACAAGAAAACACATCAAGAATGCACCAGGCAGCTCTGTTAAAAATGGCAACAATACCAATCGGGATGACCGGTAGTGGGGGAACTGGTGAGTGCACTGATGGAATCTGACCCTAAAAAGTAGTTCTATTGAGTTAAAAAGCAAGTTATGAAATATAACATAAAAAGGGATATCACAAATATGAACTTTAAAAAAACAACTGTATATTATTTATGAACACAACACGTGATGAAGTGTGAACTCTCAAATAGGAAGGAGTCCCACCCATTTCAGTTTAGCTCCAGGGAAGGAGAGACGAGGCCTCAGAGAGGAGTACAAGAGAGTAACATTTTATTTCTTTAAAAATTAGAAGCAAATGTGGCAAAATAGTCTGTGAAGAGCACAAGGGCTTTATATTATTACTCTGTATATTTGACATATTTTGTAATTAAAAAGAATTTTAATGGGCACATATGGCATAACAACAAAATAATAAATTATTATTCACAGCACAAACTAATTTACTAATAACTTAATTATTTAAACTATGGAAACTTATGTACATACATTAGAGCATGTTCTACAGAGAGTTAAAAATAAATCCTAAAATTTGCAATTTACATTAGGGTTTTAAGTTAATAATTTTGCTAATGGACATTGAATCTCATGCACATTAAAATGTCCCTACGCTATAATGTAAAGGGGTGTTCTCTAGAGTTGCCAAAGCTACAGAAATAAAACTTTATTAGTGTGGTACTCTGAACACCAGTCTTCTTTGGAAAGCGCTCTCCTCAGCAGGGACCAGGAACAAGCACTATGTACAGGTGTATGTACAGCTCGCGGAGGCGGCGCGTCTGTGTGAGGAGTGGTGCCCACTGGCTACAGGCTGCACACACAGGGCCGAGCCCCCAGAAACACCCCTCCCTCCCTCCCTCCCTCCCTCCCTCCCTCCCTCCCTCCCTCCCTCCCTCCCTCCCTCCCTCCACTTCCTGCCTGGGGTTTGGGTCGGAGGCCGAGAAGTACCAATACTGGAAAAGTTTTATAAAACAATCTTTAAAGAAAAAGTGTACCTTTGAAAGAGAAGTAGAGAGACCTGGGAAGTTAGGCCGTTTGAAGAGGGTGAAGAAGAGGTAGTAGGGTTTTGCTATCTGCACTTACTGAATCTCTGAGCCTCGATGCGGTAGGATAACAAATACTAAGAAGAAATTCAGGAGACAGACAGAACTGGGTAGAACTCTGCACCTACAAACACAACTCCAGAGATTGAAACTCACGTAATGTCATCCTTGACTACAATACTCTGATCACATTCATACTATTTCAACAATAACCATTTGGTGGTGAGCGGCTGTTTTATTAACATGAACTGCTTTTGCCAATTAAACATTTGCAAGAGATGATTAGTTGATCTTTCAAGTGACCTGGCTGCTAGATATGCTAAGATTCCCCAGGGATGAAAGATTGCAATGAAATTATTCCAAGTTCCAAACCTCACACGTTCTGTCTTGGGCAAATGAAATTATTCCAAGTTCCAAACCTCACACGTTCTGTTATGGTGACACTGCTGTGACAAAGGCAGTTTTCACTCTGCTCCATGTCAGTTGTCCTATTCCATGGTACTTTGTACTGAAATCCTTAACTTAACTGGAAAAGCTGGCTTCCTCAAATCTAATTTAATGTAACTTTGGCAGTATGAAAAGCAAAATTCCTTACAAAATTGAAAGTCATCTACAGCATTTAATTTTTTAAAATTTCCTCCATCACCAATCTTAAGTTTCAGAACGACTCATTAATTTTCTTCCTCCCTCTCACAGAAGGCTAAATGCCACTCTGCTTCATG